GCTCACCTTCTCTGCCCTAGGAGCTTGGGATCTCAGTGGGGGAGCTTCCTTCCGGGTGCTGGGACCGGCTGAGCTTCTCTGTCCTAGGAGCCTGTGATGGAGGCAGGGAGCTTCCTCTGTCTCAAGTTTTAATAAATGTTGATTACATATTGGAATAATAATTTGGGTATGCTTGGCTAAATGAAATATATTAAAATGAATTTTACCTATTTCTTTATACTTTTTTAACGTGCCTTAAAAAATTTTAAGTCACTTACGTTCTGTTTCTACTGAACATTGCTGATGTGTAGGCTTCGTGAGACTGCCACAGGATCAATCCATGGGATTACAACAAAAGTTTTAAATCTCCATGCAGAGCCTTCATTAGATTCAGGTTAAACATTTAAAACATTTTCTAAAATAAAGAATACTTTTTGATAAAGGATGCTTCATATTACATCATATTGGGAGAGAAACATTGTGTTCCTTTTTCAGCAGTGCTGAGCTTAATTATTTAAGGAGAGACTATAAGATGTCTACATTTCAGATTTAACCCTTTGTTGCTAAGTAACCAGTCAGGTGATATAAATACAAGAACGGAGTTAAATTCTTATAAATACCCTGGTCCCCAAAAGCCTTTTTTACCCAATGATTTTAACATCCATTAATAATACTTTCCTGACTTAGTTATTATAATGGGGATTACAAAATGGTCATTTTCTAATTCTTCTACATTCATGGTAAAAGACATTCCCTCCCTACCTCTGTTCTTTTGAGGATCCACCCCCATGGTCATAAACATACATGCATGCATACATACATCATTTATTTATTGGCCGTTTCAATACCTTTCTTCCTCTTCCTCCTCCTCCCTCCATCTTTTCCCCTTGCCCCTTTCCTCCCTTTTCCCCTTCCTCTCTTCCCCTCCTTAACCCCTTCTTTGTGCTGTTATATTGCCTAGGGTGATCTTAAATTGCTGGACTCAAGCATTCTTTCTGTCTCAGCCTCCCATGTAGCTGGGATGATAGGCACATACCGAGGTATTGGGCTCATTCTTTTTGTCATGCTTGTTGAGCCCTATCTCCCCCTTTCCAGAAGATTGCAAATTCAAGCCCAGCCCCGAGTGACTTAGCAAAGCCCTAACAGCTCAGTGAAAAGACCCTGGATTCAATCCTTGATACTGCCCTCCCAAAGAAGTTTTCCTTGAATTTGATATTTGATTAAGTGTGGCTTAACATTTCTCCTGAGTTTGAGTGATACTTGTAGGTTCAATGGGCAGCAGATTTATGCATTATGTTTTAATAGAAGAAAACAAGATATTTTCTAAAAATAGATAAAAAATTAAGTGAGGTGTACCTTTTAGATAATACTGTAGTTTGAGTGTTGTGGAATAAGAAAAATCAAGAACTTCCCAAGAAACCCTTCTTTCATTTTAGCTTTTCATCTTGAGTGGAAAAACTGGAAACATCTTGGCATCGGAGAAGCCCAAAGGAAAAGTTTTGTGTACTTGAGAATGTCCTTCTGTAGTACCCTTAGTGTAAATTTGAAATTAAATGAAAGAGGTGGTAAGAGTTACTGGATCCTCATGTGCAGGGTAGTTAGAATGATTTCATTTTGTGGGGAATATAGCTTTCCTGGTATAAAAATGTTTAAGCGTGAGAAGATTTGTCATGTAGTTCATATTGTTGTTGTTTTTTGTTTTTTTGGTGGTACTGGAGATCAAATTCAGGACCTTGGTGACACTGAGTTGAATCCCTGGCCCCGAGTTCATATTGTGTTTGATGTTTCCATGACTCTGTCTTTTTGTTTCTCTCTTAGAAATGACTGCTGTCCACACTGGCAACATAAACTTCAGATGGGATCCCAAAAGTCTAGAGATCAGGACTCTGGCAGTTGAAAGACTGTTGGAACCTCTTGTTACACAGGTAAGAATCTGAAAACACAAATGCATACTTGTAGCATGATTCTGTAGCAATAGGCCCAGGTTGGGTTACAAACATAAGACTGTGGTTAAAGGTTAATTTGAGTAGTTGAATTTAGATTGATAGTACTTAGATGACTTGGTTCCACTAGTAACTGTGTGTGTGTAGGGGAGTTACAGGGGTTCTAACTCAAGGACCTTGCACTTGCCAGGCAAGTGCAAGTGACTGAATATTGATACATGGGTTTATTTAATCCTTTAGAACACAGCTGTTGCCATTTTCTTCTGTCTTATTGCCAGTAGTAGAGGTTGTTAGTATGTAGTGCAACTTCTCAAATGTTTGCCTTTTGCAGATAATTTCACCCTTCCCTTTGAGGGGAAACCTAAGACTGGGACATAGACCCTTAGTTGTTAAGGTTCTTCACTTAGCCTAATGTTCTTTGCATTGTGTAGACTTAATTAGCATTTAATTCAACTTGAAGGTATAGGTTGGTTATGCTCTGTTACAAATACTTGTATTGTAATGTGATGGCATTTATTGTTACAAATAGCTATATATTTTTAGTTTTGGCATAGTTTGAGAGAGAATGAGATTGAAAGATTTATTGGCATTTGCTATCTTTAGAAAATTTCATTCCAACTCAAATATAAATTAGTATTTTATATATCTATATGTAGGAGTATGTAGTTAAGACTCTGGAATGTTTACTTTCTTGGGCTCCATGTACCATAAGCCTTCAGTAGGTCTTTTATTTGGCAGATGTACACTATAACAAATCTTTAATCATCTTCAACCTACAGATCATCTGGTATTATGGTTATTAATGACGGTTAATATTCTGGGTCCTATAAAGCACCATCACAGCAGGCTTCTTTGGGCAGTCATCCTTTTCTTTATTAAGGCCCTTTACTAATTAATTGCTAAGATTTGTGTGACTGAGCAAAGACTGCAGAAGCAAGTTATCTTTAAACATTTTGCAAAGATTGATGGTGTTATTGGGGAGCTCCTTCTAAAAATGGCTCACCAAATAAATGTTACCAGGTTCAGGGTTGCTCAGCTCTCCTTCAGGAGTTAGATTCCATGTTCTTCTTGTCCCAAACATTGAATTGAATGAGATGAGCAAAAAACAGTGGCAAAGTTGATCTGAAGAAGTAAAAGTGAAGAGTAAGAGAGAAACTGGCTCTGCAGAGTGAGCTTGGGAAGAGTAAAAGAGAAAAAAGCAAGATGAAGCTACACCTTAGAGGAAGCAGGGAGGGCTATTGTGAAGGAAGCCAAGATAGCAAGCTTTTCTTGGTGTCTGTGCCCTTTTATAGCTGTCCAATCTCAAGGCAACCTGTGAGAACTACACGTTTCCTGTGAGACAATCCCATACCACAGGCTGAGGTCAGTCAGGTCTAGGCCATCCTATTGAAAACCTCGAGTTCTTGCAAGAAGTCCACACGTAAGGCTTTGGGAACTGTTCTGCATATGTGTTCTGGGATCTTGTAATTAACAGGCCATACCTACTTTCCCATTCAGCTTTGTTTCACCCTAATCTTCTATGTCATTAGCAGTAACAAAATGTGACCTTCAGGTAAATCTCTAAAGTCATTGTTAACATCTTTCTGGAACTTCTTTATGACATATAATAGAGACATCTAATTTGTCTCTAATCATTTTTAAATTTGTAAAATCAAACTAAAAGCCTCATGATATTTGAGGAATTAAATATGTATTTCTTATACATTGAGGAAACTAAATTATTTTGGAAACTAGAGTATCACTGCTGTATATCTTAAATATGAAGAGTTATTTAATGCTTAGCAGAATCTTTTAAATGTATTGATTCATTTCCTTATAAATAACTTATTTTGGGTATCATTAAAGATGTTAGTTGTTCTGTTATTTTCACTTTGAATGACTACAGCTTATTTATTTTTTAAATGAAATTTTTAGGTTACAACCTTGGTCAATACCAATAGCAAGGGACCCTCTAATAAAAAGAGAGGTCGTTCTAAGAAGGCCCATGTTTTGGCTGCATCTGTTGAACAAGCAACTGAGAATTTTTTGGAGAAGGGGGATAAAATTGCAAAGGAGAGTCAGTTTCTCAAGGAGGAGCTTGTGGCTGCTGTAGAAGATGTTCGAAAACAAGGTAGGTCAAGATCACTTTTTATATAAGGAGAGGAAGACCTTTCTGAAAAATCCATCTTTTTATTGAGGCCCTGGGAAAAGAACCCAGTTCCTTTCACTTAAGCATTTTCCTACTGAGCTTCATCCCCAGTGCCTGCAAAAGCAATCTTTGAAGGGACTTTGTATGATCAGTATTGTTTTTATATTTGCAAATTGTTCAGTAACTTTGTAATCAGGAGAGTTGCTTATAAAGGAATATAGTATATCTTTGTAGAGTGTGAATTCACATCTGTTGAGTGTTTCAAGTGATAGTTAAGTCAGAAATGTTGAAGTACAACTTGATAGGAAATAAGTAGGACAAAAATTTACCTTTCATTCTATGTGATACCTCCTTTGAGTTCATACTGAGCATATAGGGGTAGTAAAATGGAAAAAATATCTAGCCTGTTAATAGTAATAGTCATTACTTTGATAATAGTCTAGAAAATGTTCCATTCTGTCAACACTTGTTTGTTCAACCAGCCATATTTGAATTGGTTTGATTTTAACCTGAATAAAACTGGTTTTAAGCTGGGTGTGGTGGCACAAGCCTGTAATCTCAGATTTAGGAAGCCTAGGCAGCCTGAACTACATAGGAAGACCCTGTCTCAACAAAATAAAATGAAACAAACAAAAAACTGGGCTTCAGGGAAATCATGTTTTGAGAAGTTTGAAATTGATGAAAGATAAAATGATTATTAATCCACAGCTCACCAGTAATTACCATTAGAAAACTCATAATTGGGACAAGATTGAAAAGACTTTAAATCTGAAAGATAAACACCTTTTCCCTCCTCTTCCTTCTTTATTTCCTCCTCCCACCCTCATCCTTTTTATTTGTTTGTTGGTTTTTCTTGAGATTGTCTTACCTGTTTGCCCAGGGTGCCCTTGAACTTGTGATCCTCTATTGGTGTGCTACCCTGTCCGACTAAAAGAGAAACTTCTTGAATCCTATAGTTTTGTGTTAGACTTGTGTTCCAACAGGAAGACTTCAAAAATGTAGGTTTTTGAAGCTATTGGATATCAGCTAAGGTATATTGTATAGCTATTATGGACAGATACTTTATTGGCCTTTAGGAGAACATTACTGGTTCTCTGGTTCCTGACAGCAAAGTGCACAGTCCAATACAGTCTCATGTCAGATTCATTGCTGTGATAGTACCCAAAAAGGGCTGTACATTTCCATTTTTTTTTTTTTTTTGCAGTACCAGGAATTGAACTCAGGACCTTGTACTTGTCAGGCAGGTGCAGTGCCACTGAGCCACATCCCCAGCCCTTCATTTGTTGTTCTGAATTTGTGAACTAAAATCTTTATTAAAACTTTATTTAGTGAATATTTTTTCTCAATTTTTAGGCTGAAGATTAATTTTCCCAGTACTAAAAATGATGAAATTCTTAAAATTCTGTAATAGGAGTGAGGTGGGTATATTAGTTGGCTAGGGCTCCCATCTTTTGTAACATAAATTAGAAGAAATTTGGTGGTTTAGAATAATAGAATTTTTTTTTTTTTTTTTTTTGGTACTGGGGATTGAACTCTGAACCTTGTGCTTTCGAGGCAGGCAGCAGCACCACTGAGCTAAATCCCCAGCCCAGAACAATATAAATTTATTCTCTCATATTCTGGGTCATGAGTTTCTTGAGGTCACTATTTAACCCAGTTCAGTGGATTTTGAGTTTATTTTGAGAGTTTAATGGTCCAGTTTAGGCAATTTTGAGCTTCCTGTTGAAATTATAATGGCTCTTAATTTGTTATCCTCAGTGGGAAGGTTCTGCTTCCCAACCCTTACTGCAATCTATGGTGAAACTTACAATTATATTAACAGATGAATTTAGCTAAGTCTTACTCTTTTTTTTTTGGTACCGGGGATCGAACTCAGGTCCTTGCACTTGGGAGGCAGGTGGCGGAACCACTGAGCTAAATCCCTGGCCTGCTAAGTCTTCATTGAGTCTAGTCACTAAGCCATTTAATTATTGTAGGTAACTTTTTGTTTCAGATTTCAGATGTTTCTCTGATGCAAATCAGTAACAAGTATGGTACAATACATCCTTCAACCCCCCCCCCATTAAAATAAATTAATTAATTTGAGACAGGGTCTTACCAGGTAGCCCAGGTTGGCTTTGAACTCACTATATAACTTAGGCTGGCCTAGAATTCACTGCAGTCCTCTTGTGTCAGTCTCCTGGGTGCTGACAACTTTGTCTCTGTTTTTTTTTTTTTTCTTTTGGTACCAGGGATCAAATTCAGGTCCTTGTGCTTACAAGGCAGGCGCAGTGCCATTGAGCTAAATCCCTGGCCCCCAACAACTTTGAATATATATCTGGATTTGTCTTTTCTTATTACTTTTGTTTATATCTGGAAATGTTGTATGTGGTTCTGAATCATAAAGACTTGTCTCTCCTAGTCTGGCTTTTTTTTTGGTATTATCTCCTAGTCTGGCTTTGAAGTTACTTATATCATGATCCATTTACCATAACTTGCCTTTTCTTAAGAAAATCAAAGCACAAACCAAAAATATAACTGTCTCCCATCATCACCATTGCATTAGATATGAAAAGCTAGAATACACCCCCCCTTTTTTTTTCTTTAGGGACAGAGTCTTACTATGTAGTCCAGGAGTGCTAGGATTACAGATGGGCACCATCATGCCCAGCTGGCAAATTTTTTGAAAAGCCAGGTAGTAAGTATTTAGCTTTACTAGCCAGAAAGTCTCCCTTGAAACTATTCAGCTCTTTTTACTGTGTTGTGACTCTGTTATGAAAACATTAATTTACATAAAACTTGATCATTTTACCTCAAGGTTAATGAAATGGCCGGGTGAGCCTCTTTGGTGAATGGGAGCCAATCATCAGTTGTCTGGAATGTAAATCCCTATAATGTAGGAGTTACACTGAACTAGTTGTTGAGTCAGGTGGACTGAAGCATACTTGTTCATCTTAGATGTGCTCATTTCCTTTTGATACCCAGCTTACTTTCTGTATCCCTCACCTTGACTAGGTCATTCTTTAGACTTTTTCTGCCTGCTTCTTATCATAATGGTAATTAAGTGAGTTACCTTCTGCTTTGTAAGCTCTGTCTCTAGGAGGGCAGCTTCTTTGGTAGTCTAGTGGCCCTTTTTCTGATATCCAACATGATACTTGGTCTGCAACAGGTACTTAAATACTTAAGATAGTTAATTACTTTTAAGAAGGACTGTGTGAATAAAAGGCTTTTTTTCCTCAGATGTAAAATTTGTTTTCCTCCTCTGTAGGGGTGGAGAATCTTAAAAAATTGCCTTTAAAAATATGCCTAGGGCCAGGGATTTAGCTCAGTAGTTCTGCGACCTGCCTCACAAGTGCAAGGACCCGATTTCGATCCCCGGTACCAAAAAAAAAAAATGCCTATACCAGTGGTGGTAAACCTATGGTACATGTGCCATAGCCAGCTATTTGTTATCATTTCTAAAACGTTCACCATCAGTGGCCTGTATGATAAAATTCAGTCCTTGAGTGTGTAACTCAGTGGTTTTTAGGATATTCCCAGAGTTGTACAACTAGCATTGCTATCTAATTCCAGAACATTTTTATTATCCCTAAAAGAATCCTTGTGGTCTTTAGAAGTTATTCCCCATACATATGTATTTCAACAGTACATAAAGAATAGATGCTGCTTGTTTGGTATCTAAATGTATTTTATAAGTCCTTGATTAAAGTTCTAATCAGAAAAAAGAGAGTCTTCAGCTGAATAGGGGATGTATTCCCATTGGTGGGACAAAATACCTGGCATCCACAATTTAACAAGTGGTTTATTTGGCTCATGGTTTCCAGTGGGTTCAAACCATGGTTGGCTGGCTCCAAGGCAGAAATAGCGTGCTCACCACATGGCAGCTTGGAAGGACAGTAAGAGGAGAAACTGGGTATAAGAATACATCCTTCCAGATCACTCCCCCAGTGACCTGTCTCTTCTGACCAGGCCCTGTCTTCAAACACATGAGAGTTGGTAGGGGGCAGTTTAGGTCTAAACCATAACATTCCTCTTCTGGCCCCCAAAAGGCCCATGTCCATTTCATTATGCAAAGTGCATTTAGTTCATCTGCCAGAGTCTTGAAGATCTTAATAGTTCCAATATTGCTGCAAAGTTCCAAGTCTGAAGTGTTCTCTGAGATTTGAGGCAAATTCTTAGTTTGAGCCCATGTAAAAAATAAATACTTCCAATATATATGGCGCAGGGTAAACATTTTGATTTCAAAAAGGAGGAATGGAATAGAAAGGAATAGCACCAAAGCAAGACTGAAACCCTGCAAATATTAAATCCTGTATGTCCATGTCCAGCATCAGGGGCACATAGTAGCAAGATGTGAGCCCTGAATGGCTTGGCTAGTCCCGACCCTTTGGCCTTGCTGGTTGTAGCCCACATAGTCTCTTTATTGGGCTGGCTCCACTGAATATCTGAGGCTTTTCTTGGCAAACTTTCCATGTTTCTGTCATCTCCAACTTCCTTAAGTCTCCAGTGCATCTTTGGTTTTACTCATAGCTTCTTGCATCACTTTTTCAGGGGTTCCTGGCAGGGACTGAGATACTGGCAAACAGTTTTTCCTGGACTCCCTGACCTGATTCTGAAATCTGTGTGGGAGTTTTTTTGAACTTCATAGCTCTTACATTCTGCGTGCCTGAAAAACCTGCATCACATGAATGATGCCAAGGTGGGCCACCAGCTCAAGTAGTAGCCAAAGCCTCTTGGACCTGGGCTGCAGGGGCCTCTTTCAGGGGAATACTTCTTTAGAAGAAACACTTCTGTAGGCAGTCTTGAATAAGCAGGACACTCTGGGCAAAGTCTTTCAAAGTAGTTTACAGTTTTTTATACCCTTAACCCTGGGAAGGCTAAGATCTGGCAAATTCCTGACATGCCTTTAAGCCATCTTTCCTGTTGACCTAATGCAAAATACTTGGCTTCCTTATAATGCTAATTTTCAGCAACCTTGCTCTTCTTTGCTCCACTTTTGCAGA